TCAGAGACTTGAAAGGTGCCGACAAGATGGATCCGGGTAATTACCGCGCCGGCGAGGGTCCCCTCCGCGCATTCATCGCCGCAACAGCCGCCGAGTTCGGCGACGAGAAGATCCGCAAGGAGGCCCTCGAACAGCTCGACAACGTCTACTTCCCCGTCGAAGCCACCAAGACAGGATCTCTTCGAAACAAGGGCCTCTCAGCTACTACTCAGGTGATTGCCCTCATGGCACGTCTCGTTAAGCAGCGTGACTTGGCCAATGCTACGCTTCATGGTCCTTCCAAGGACGCTTTGAGTGGACCTATCCTCGAGGAGGCGCCTTTTCCAGAGGTTCTGGTTGCCAAGGCATATAGTGAGGATGGAAAGAAGCTTGATTTGGTTGTGTACAATGGAAAGGAGGCTGGAGTTTTCAAGCTTGGGTTTGAGAGGCTGATCCCTGGCCAGCAGTACTCTATCAACACTGGAGGATCTGTCACAGCAAACGGAGCTGGCAAGGCTTTCATCGATGCGAAGATCAATGGAAGAACTCAGATCATCCTGCAGCCAGTCTGCTAAATTGGATATCAGGAGCTGCACTCTCTTCGTTTAAGATAATCTGGGAATGTATTCGTTCTTTTCCGGTAGCTAGTCTATCTATTCACAACCTTTCATATCAATGCCTCACATTCAGACATATCGTGATAAAATCTAGAGTCCAATCTTGAAGCCACCTGGCCAGTACTTCTGGAAGATCCGAGAAGGATCATACTTGCGAGAGATCTGAAGCAGCTTCTGTTTATTCTTCTCCCCATAGCCATCATAAACATTCTGAAACCCGGCGGCATCTCCCATGTAAGTGAAAGGATCATACAGACCAGCCTTCTGGGTAGCATTAGCAATTGCCCAAGTCGTGTCCTCCATCCACTTGAACACAGCTTCGTTGTGCTCATCGCCACTCCACTCAACAACCTCTGCCCAAGCAATGTACGTGCCCTTCTTCTCAACGTCCAAACCTAGAGCATTACCTCCCGGGTTGTACTTCTTAGAAGCTTTTGTCCAGAGAGAGCCGATGGGCTGCCAGTCAACAGAGATGAGTATGCGGTCCTCAGCGGGCAGAGCCTTGTACAAGTCGGGAAGAGCGTTGAGGAAGCCATCGTTCACAATTTGCACGCCTTTGAGTAGCTCCTCGTATGTTTTACCCGTAGTGGTACCGGCGATGAACTGGTTGTTGATCTTCGGTGTGACGAGTTGGCCAGTCTCATCTGAGAACTGAGCCAGAGTCTTTTTCTCGAACGTGTTGGAAATAGCTGGAAGGTCGAAAAATGGCCGGAAGCACTCCGGCTCCGGGTCTGAGTCGCTGTCGTAGAAGAGAATTGCACCACCAATAGTGGTCTCCTCATCAACTGCAATAACTTGAGGAACAATATGTGCAAGAGGGTCAGTATTGAATGCCGAGAAATTTGCAACAGCCTGCAGTTCTGTAAGCGCCAATGAAGTAATTCCCTTACAGTGCCTCATACCTTCAAGAATCCAGGTATATCAGTGACACTATATATACCAGCGTAAATCTGATCCGATGGGAAAGTGGCCAGTTTGAACTTGGTAACGATGCCAAAATTATTAGATCCGCCCTTCAGTGCCCAGAACAGATCCGGATGAGATTTTGAAGTGACTGATATGACCTTGCCGCTGGACACCACGAGCTCATACTCGAGTACATTATCCGCAGCCCATCCTCGCTGGTTCCCCTGGAAATTGATACCTCCTGCGAGAAGCAGACCAGGTACTCCGACTGGAGAGAGACGACCACCTGCGACTGCAAGCTTGTGCTCGCCTAGATAACGATAAACCTGGCCCCAATCCAAGCCAGGTCCAACCCAGGCCGACTTCTTGTCTTTGTTCAATTCGAGGGTTGTCAAATTGGACATAACGAAGAGCGGGCCTCCATCAATATTGTTGGCGCCTGCGATGGCCATGTGTCCACCTCCGCGTAAACCAAAGGATGTATGACCAGTACCCATCAGCTTGACTGCTTCAGCAACATGCTTTGCGCTGGTGGGACGGAAAACACAAGCTGGGTCTAGAAGCTCATTGTTGGACCAGAACTTCTGCGACTCATACTCATAGACTGCGTCCTTGGGGTAAAAGGTCTTGTCGGGAAAGGCATGCTTCAGTGCATCGCAGCCAGACTCTGTCTTCTCTTCCGCGATGGCAGGGCAGGTTGCTAACGATAGCAAGCTGAGAATCGTGCTGATCAGCATGACGAGCAGCATAGGATGATGGACAGTTGATGAGAGGATGAAGGATAAAGCCCATTGAGGTTGACCGCTACAATTGAGATTTTAATGGGATCGCCACGAGCTGGTTGCCGGATTAATTCGCGGACCTGCATGGCCCAGCATTTTAGCAACTGTGGGTGCATCGGTGTTTTTACTCGAGATGGGAGGTGATGATCGCTAGACGACCCAGAAACATGGACGTGGAGTTTGGTGGAAGCCGCTGATTTGACGGCTTACGGGCCTAGTCGGCCTCCATAAATATTCCGCCCTACCCTCTTGTAACCAATAGCTCTTAGTGTTTATAATTTTAAGAATAATACTATGGCAAGGCATAAGAATTATTAGAAATAGAAATATAAAGTTAATTTTCATAATAATTATCCTTCTAAATTACTACAAGCAGCTAGTTTAGAAACTTAAAAAATCATATAGAAAACAAGCCTGGTCTACTTATGAACTGTATCTTGGAGAAATCCTGACCTGAAAGCCCTTTGGCTTTACAAACCAGTAGTTAAAGGTAGACCAGTCGGTCCCCTTTTGTGCTAAATCTCCATCAAGCTCATAGTTGAATTCCCGGACAATCTTAGGAATCAGCTTGGAGATCTCCAACATGGAGATGTGTCTGCCCAAGCATGTTCGAGACCCAAGACCAAACTAGAGGAAACGGAAAAACGGGGATTAGTCAAGAATCTTAGTAAGTAACAAGGGAAGAAATTCTTACTGGTATCCAGTGACGGTTCATGACCGAAAGTTGTTCCTCATCGGTGGTGAGCCATCGTTCTGGCCTGTAAATATCTGCATCAAGGCCGTAAATAGACTGGTTGCGATGTTGAACCCAGGTGTTGATTCCAACAATTGACTACCAATATCATGTTAGCCTAGAGATCCTGTGACACAAGGCCCGAATATGCATACACCTTCAGGGAAGAAATGTTCACTGATAGTGGCCCCTCCCTTGGGCACAACACGTTCCAAGGGCAGGCCTGTGGCAGGATGGAGCCTCAATGTCTCCTTGATGACCGCTTGCAAGTATGGCATCTGCTGAGTCTCTTGAAACGTCGGTTTCTCAGACAGTTTGCCCTCCATGTAGTAGTGATCGATCTCTTGCTGCAGTGCAGCGAGGCATGGAGGGGTTTTCAGTAGATAATACAGGATGGCAGACAGCGTAATGCCAGTTGTGTCAGAGCCAGCAACCATATTGGCAACGCATCCCATGGTGACATTAGTGGACGTAAATTTGTCAGGACTCTGCTCATGCTTCTCGAGGAATTTGAGAAGAAAAGGCTCTGCAGAAGTAGTTTTCTTCTCTGCCGAGACCCCCGTAGGGGTTTTCATGCTCTCGGCCACTCGGCTACGTGTAAATGAAATGACATATGCGCGACCCGTACCACTCGAGCCAGCATAAGAATTCTTCACAGAGAAAAGAAAAGGATGAAGTTTGCTGTATATACCTACAGGTGCAGCATAGGAAAGAAATGCTTCAAGGGCTTCCATAACGCCGCCAACGTCCTTACCGCTGTCGAGGAAGCCTAGCCGTTTACCATATGTAATAAGTCCGATAACGTCAAATGCATAGCACTGAAGCCAATGGCCCATATCCAGAGGCCATCCCGTTTGGGAAATCTCTGACAGACGTTGGACGAAGAGGTCTGCACATTCATCGACGTAAGGTTCGTACGAGATGAGAGACGACATGGAATAGTTGTTTTGGAAAAGTCTTCGATGATAAGCGTGCCTTTTGGTATCTCGATCGGCGAAAAGGCTCACTTCCCCTGGAGCCACCCAGGCATCATACCATGATGACTTGGGAAAAGACTTTTCCAACCCGTATATTGCTTTTATTGCTGTCGGATCGTTGATGCTATAGCGACGGGGCCCGTATCGGACAACCGGTCCTTATAGTGCGTTTCACGTTAGTCCAATCACTAGTCTTAAGCTTTCGCTATTTTACTAACCATATTCTCTGTGCAAAGCCACATTGTCTCTTTCAAAGTGACCTTTGCAGAGACGCCAGAGGTACCACGAGTCGGTGAAGCGAGCAAGAAATGGGCCAGGGATAGACTTGAGTGGAGAAAAGAAGTAACCATAGACCAAGGTGGCTAGTTTCAGCAGACCAGAGGCTAAAACTAAGCCCAAAATCAAGTCTAGCAAAGAAATGTCTGTCATGGCGAAAGCTGTTACTTGGAATTCCCAAAAGTGTCTCAGCTCAAGATGGGGCCTATCCTCAACTACCGAGTGCTGCATAGATTATATAGACAAATCCCAATCGTTGTAATTGATGCATCGGATTTGCCGGTTTGCTCTTCCCCGCTCGGCATTGACGGTTTTGGCTCTTCCCATTCCCCTGCAGACACAGACGGCGGGAACTAAATGATTCGCGAGGAAATGCAAACAATCTTGTTCTAGGTGGGATAGGAAGTTCGGAAGATCCGGCTAGGAAGTCTGATAGCAAACGTGATCTGGGGTCATTTGCCAGGTTCTCGGAACTTCCGAGCAGGACAGATTTTTGTTCGAGTTAAGTTTCGGCCATAATCACTTCAGCTTCCGTCATCGTTCTTTATAGCCCGCGCTATCCGAGCGGAGTCTCCAATGTCAAGCTTTTTTATAGCAAGGCTGTGTCTATTAGCTTGTAAGTAATAATAAAATCAGTCTTTAGGGCCAGCCATTGGTTGTGGCATCCAGTGAATTGAGTCATATTAGCTACCCGAGCTTAATCTAGGGTATCCGCCCCCACGCTGTCATAATGTCTAGACCATTCGCCATTGAGAATATTGGCTACAGGGATTACAATATATACACCATTATATCAGCTTCAGTACCCATTATCATCTTCTTCTATCTGGACACAATTAATTGCAACCCTAAGGCTCTCAATAATACCTTGGTAGAAGCGAGTATGGCCCTGGAAGTGATCTCGATGATTACCAAGATGGATAGTTCGTTCAATGCAGGTGAACAGAATTGGAATCACGATCTGGAAGAAAAGCAACACGCATAAACAAGCCATAAATTTCAGCTGCATTTAATTTCCAACAAGAGACCAAGATAGAAAGCTTTTGCACCATAAACAGATAGTAATATCTACATACTATACTAACCTAATATGTCTGCAGAACGGCAGTAGGAACTATGTCCCCAGACCTCTCTGTCATCTTCATATTAATGGACATTAAGTGCTGGTAGAAATTTCTCTTGGATATAGATAGACAGATGTTATTACTTAGGGTATACTGCTGAGCTCTATCCAAGCTGAATAACATACAATAATCTTTGCATGAATTTAAAAAAAGATGTCATAGCGGGCCGCGCATCACCATCTCCGTACCCCTGATTTCTTCAGCCGCTCCAGGGCCCTATTTCAATAGCGTGCACGAAAATCTCTTTAGCGGCCAAACTATCGATTTTTATGCAGGGGTTCACCAATCGCAGCGCTGTCATTAAAATGAGACCACCAAGCGAGTCAGCAGCCACGCTGGAACAGGTCTAGTCAGCCAGCTGTGACAGACGGCCTCTGCGGAATTCATTGATCGGGGACGTTATTTATCAACGCTCCCCCCAAGATCTAACCTTAACGTCGGAGTTCTATCATTGTCTCACCCATTCGCTCATTTACGGGTTTCTAGTCTCTCGTTAAAGATAATTCCACGTGTCAACGTCATGATGAACTCCAAGACACTCCTCAGCGTGCTGGCTTGTCTCAGCGTCGGTGTTTCTGCCGGACCCTGCAAGCCAGTTACTTCTCAAGCTACTCAGGTCACCTCTGCAACGACCGAACTGTCTACGTCGATTGACCTTACCACCACCATCTCTGCCTCCGATGTCGCTTCTACAACTGAGCTGAGCTCTCTGACAACTGAGGACTCTACTACCGAGATTGCAACGACGACTACCGCTGCTGATACTACCACGGAGGCCCCCACCACAACCACCGAGGAAGCAACAACAACAACAACCGGTGCAGCACAATGTCCTACCCCCTCTGCTTGCAACAACCTCGGCTTTGACTGGGCATACTACAGCAACCCTGCTCAAAACACCGACACGACCTACTCCAGCTTCGTGCCCCAATCCTTCAAGCAGGTCAACCCCATTTACGTCGGCACGACCCGCCAAATCGGTGGCCTCTTCCAGCCCAGCAACGCCGCCCAGTCAGCCCCCATCTATGGCTCGACACAAGATCTCGCTCTCGACTACTTCGCTCTTAACCATCACGGTTATCTGTATAGTTGCGACGCTGGTACCTACAAGTTCGACATTCCTTACGCTAACGACGCCGTGTACCTGTGGATTGGCGCAAAGGCGTACGCTGGTTGGAACTCTGGTAATGCTGACGCCAAGGCTCTGTATAACCAGCCCGACCATATCGCTGGTAGCGCACACTTTGAGATTGATCTCCCTGCTGGCGTATACATTCCCATTCGATTCGTCTATGGTCAGGCTCAGTATGGCGGTGGCTTCACCTTCACGGTCACAGCCCCCAATGGACAGGTTCTTGTCGGTAATGATGTTACTGCCAGTCCATATGTTGTGCGCAACTCTTGCGATGGCATTCTAGCGCCTGCTTATCCGCCTTTTGGCCAGGAGATTTAAAGTTGAGGCCCGAAGGAGTATGTGAAGGCATGGTTCATTCTGTTCGTGACAATAGCTGCCGAAAGTTAAACTCGGCTTTATATAAAGATAATATTAATTAAAGAACCTGACGCATGCCATCCTGGCCGAGCTTCACGGTGGAGTTTCGCGTGATAATATGTGTCAGAGCATGTGGGGTGCTCATTGATGTTTGCAAATGTGACCCAAGAAATACCCGGATACCCGGATATCCGATTGTTGAGCCATCCAGTGCTAGAAACGTCCGCGTAATACACCGGCAACTTTGAATAATGCACACGTGGTTGCTTTCCTTAGTTTAAGGAGGGGGGCATCAGCCTGTGTTGTGCAATGATATCTCCAGCTTACCTTAAAAGGTTCGTTGTTTTCGAATGGTCTAGGAGGTAGTGTATACACGATGCACATAACTAAATCTTCTGTGATTGTATTGGTGCCTATGTGCTATGAGTGGAGTAGACCGTTTATCTCGGCTTTTCTCTTCATAGCCTGAATTGAAAATTAGATGGAAAGAAACGGTTGTACATTCAAACTCGTCACATCATGTCCAATAAACTTTGATCACGATGAAATGAACTTTGAAGAGACTGAGCGTGCTTGAGTCTGAGTTAACAGTGAGGCGAATGCGATGCTTCTTAGCTATCGACACACCCTCCTATTATTATTAGAATTCGACTGGACTAGATTTCTCTCTATTACCCTCATTCCGTGTTGTCAACACAGGCAGACATCACCATCCGCATAAGCCGCCAGTCAGTGTCAATCTCTCTCTCCTCGCAAATCTTCATCGTCTCTTCCCTATGCGCAGTCCAATCACATCCGGCCGCAAATACATACAGCGTAAGCATGTCTTCAAATTCAGTGTATGTGATCTGAGTGAGCTCCAAGTTGTAGGCTCGCATTACGTCGTCGAATCTTGGCTCCGGGATTGAACTCTCTGGCCTGCGTGTGAAATGAAAAGCCATGCGACTTTCGCCTGGTTCTGGGTCTCGAACTGTGATAAGATTTAAGAGGCTGATGAAATCCATTGCGGAGTGTGATGGAGGAATTGTTTTACTTGGGTTGAGTGAAGTGTGTCAAGGATGGACTGCATGAGTTGATGATCTGGAAAGGGGTGTACTGAGCGATGGCTTATATGCAGTCTTGACATAGCGCCATTGAGACTGATGTCTGATTCAATCACATTTGCGCTGCCAATGCAACTTATTCACACGCGGGGACTGTTAGTGACACAAAGGGCGTGTTTTTCAGTGATTGCATCGCCTTGTGGTAAGCACTAACCCTTCACGTCGATTTGTCGGAGAGATTCAATGATGTGATAGGCGGGTTCATTTCCGTGATTGACTCACCAGCCATGAGATTTGTCAGCGCTCATCCTCAACACAATACATATAATCACTGGACTTGCGAAACCGAACTGACCTTCTAATCATTAATGACATCGAAACACTGTTGCATGCAGAACACATTCACTATGCACGATATCCCAGAGTTTGAGCTGGATCGAGTTGGTGAGTACGATATTGGCTGTGACATATGACTCACTTTTTGACTGATAATCGACAGCTCGGAGCTACGGTGTAAGCAGCCAAGGAAGAAAACAAAAGAAAAGATGACCGAGACTAAAATATCGCATCTGTAGCCAAGAGCAAAAATCGCATTACATGGTGAGCAATTCCCCCCTTTTGACCCAACATTCTGACGATATGCAGGGTCTGCACCACATGCCCTCTCCCTGGACAACCTTCGAGATCTCTCCTCCACCAAACTCAGTCCGATCGACACCAACATCTCACTTTCCTATGCCCCGTCCCTCGGATCAGTCGAGCTGCGCCAACGCCTTGCAGAGATCTATTCGACCGAAAGCGCACCACTGACAGAGGACAATGTGATCATCACGCCTGGATCAATCATGGCCAACTATCTTGTGCTGAGCACGACATGCACCAAAGGCGACCATGTAATCTGCCAATTTCCGAATTATGGCCCTTTGTATCTCTTGCCTAAATATTTCGGCGCCGAAGTGGAGTTTTGGGTCGGGAGAGAAGAAGAATCGTGGCATCCTGATGTTGAGGAGCTCAGAGCACTCATTCGGCCCGCCACTAAAGCCATCATTCTAACGTGAGTCTCTGTGAAAGATCTCGCAAGGATTGCTGACAGCATTGAGAAATCCGTGTAACCCGACAGGAACGGTTCTCGGCCAGGAGATGCTAGAGCAGATCAGAGATCTGGCCAAGAAGCATAACATCACAATCTTTGGCGATGAAGTCTTCCGTCCTCTGTTCCACGACAACACTCCAACTCCACCATCCGTTGTCTCTCTAGGATACAGCAACACCATCACCACTGGATCAGTCTCCAAGGCCTACTCACTCCCGGGTATTCGCATCGGCTGGATAATCTCACCTGATCGAGATATCCTACAACGCATCATCGCAGCTCGGGACTACACGACTCTCAACGTTTCACGCATCGACGATGCCATCGCTCTATTTGCCTTATCCCCCGATGTGCTTCCTAAGATCGTTGCACAGATTCTGGAAACACAAGGCAAGAATATTGACCAGTATGATCGGTTTGTGAAGAGGAACTCGGACAGATGCAGATGGGTTCGCCCGCGAGGTGGCGGAACGGCTTTTATACACTTCTCTGGGTCAAACGGAAAATCGATTGATGAGGTTGCGTTTGCAGAAAAGCTAATCCAGGATTTTGGCGTCGCTGTTATTCCAGCCAGTGCTGGTTTTAGTGAGGAGGGAGTTGCTGATTACGAAGGCTATCTCCGTCTGAGTTTGGGACAGAGAGTGGAAGCAGTCGCCGAAGGACTCCGGGCTATTGAGTTGGCTATTCAAGACTTCTAGTCATTGACTATCTAAACAAATGGTAGAATAACATGGCTAGCATGCTCCCCACCCATGTGAACCTCATGTTTCCCATGGTTATCCAAATGCTCCAAACTTCCAAAATTACTGACACCAATATTCCTACCACAAACAACAGCCCTGATCGACTCACCGGCCTCATATTCAATGCCCATGGCCCAAATACCGATATCAAGTCTCACAACATCCCCAGGCTTGATCTTCTCAATCCTTTCATGAGGGTGGAACGGCCAGTGCGGATGCATACTCTTACTCTCATCTATCTCACGATGCGATGCCCGGAGTACGCCCATCGGACCGCGATACACAACAACTTCTATCTTTTCTTGGGGCGTCATTTCTTCGAAGGATTGCTTGGGGATACCCTTCCATGGAATATTGAGGTTCATCATGACTTCTCCGTTGGCGTCAAGTTTCTCAAGGGTCACGTACACGTCCATGTCGTCGTAGTCGGGACAGGACATGTAGAGAACTGCCTTGGGGAGACCCACTAATCTTGTTGTCTGGTCGAAGCGGTATATGAAGCCGACCTGATCATCGGTTTCAGAGATGTAGCTAATTGTTGATGTCTCGGTTGGCTGGTTGAGAGAAAGCTTGCTGTCGTGCGTAAAGTACAGTTTCTTGTAATCCGTTCTCGGAATGGGGAAGTTCTCCTCGACAATGTTCTCGTATGACTGAGGCTCCTTCTTGCCAAATCGCAGAACAGCCGTGCGGACCTTTGGCACCTTGTCCCAGCCGTTGTCCTTGCCCTTGAGGAAGTGGTCAAAGAAATCAAGCAGCTCAGTCCTCGCTTGCTCATTGCCCCAAATGTCATACCACTCTTGCCAAGGGTGAAAGCGGAGCCACTTGTGAGGTGTATCAACTTCGAGCCAGCCTCGAATAGCACCCATGCCGTGCATTGTGTTGGTCCATGTACCGGTTATGTAAGTAGGAATGTTGATCTTCTTCATATCTGGGCGCTTGTCGTTCCACCAGTCATTGGCAAGAGGATGTTGTTTGAACATCTCTCGGAAACTCTCAATCCCGCTGTGGCCTTGCATCATATACTTGACGATGAGTTTATCGAATAGGTCGCCGGCATAAATACCTCCACGGGCAAACTGCTCACGATACAAGTCGCCGCAGCCTTCCCATGGAGCAATGGCCTTGAGACTGGGTGGGCTCAATGCTGCGATGAACCACTGTACAATAGCCAGATGCGAGTTTCCTGCTAGTCCAACAGAGCCGTTGCACCAAGGGAGTTTGGCAATACTCTCAATGGTGTCGTATCCGTCCTCAGCTTCTTGAGTTCCCATGATGACCAAGGTTCCCTCACTATCGCCTGAGCCGCGAGAGTCGATGTTAACAACAGCGTAACCGCGAGGAACCCAATCAGCAGGATCAGGCGCCTCAAACTTCTCAAGCCCAGAAAGGGTCTGCGGTGGAATACCAAGATTCCAAGGAACCATGAGCTCTAGAGATAAAATGCCATTGAACTTCTTTCCGAAAGGTGACCAGCAGACAATAGCAGGAACAGGCTCATCCGTATTTGGTGGGCGATACACATCAGCGTATAGTGTGACGCCATCGCGCATCTTGAACGCAACATCATGTTCAACGAGAACAGCTGAAGGTAATGGCCGTGCTTGGGGACTATCGTGTTTCCAACCTGCTGGGAGGACTTCTGAGTGAGGGTTCAGTCCAACGTAACCGCCATGGCCGACTTTGGGAGCACTGATAGGCTCAATTGGGACTGTGAAGGGGAGGTTTGTGAGAGGCATGATGTTTGCAATGACAAGGATCTAGTTGGTAATTCTGTAACCTCGATTTTACGAGCCTTCATAAGCCTATTCATAGTCGATGCCGGAGATGCCAAAGTGGATTCCGAGGTAGCGAACCGGCCGGTGGACTTGTCGGCCCCACTGCGTATGGCGCGGCTCGGAATCGGAGTCTCAAGGCGGGGGAGAGTGAGGATTGCCGGGATGCCGAGCCGAAGCGACGCTTACACTTCGGAATCAGCCATGACAACTCTGGTGTAAGGCAAACATACCCGTTGAAGAGAACAATAAGAAGAGCAGATTGAACTTTCTCAACCCGGATAGTCAAACAGCTCACAACACAAAGACA